AAAAAAAAAATTCTCTACTAAGAAGAGAAGAGGGGAAGAAGAACAAAGCTGTAATTGTCAGCCTTGTAGAGAATGCTGTACAGCTTGTGTTTTGTTGACCTGTATCTAGTAGGTACCCAATACAAAGGAAGGGACTTATTTGTTGAATGAATAAATGGGTGTAGTGGGAAGCAGCATTCTACTCCTAAGCAAGCACTGACCCTCACAATCCCATGGTTGCCTGTTTGAGCCACAGGTCAGATGCTGAAGGGACCAGCGAGGACAGGTCAGACATGGAAGAGTAGCCTAGTATTTTGCCACAAGGAACAATACAAGTAAGATCTTTGGGGATTCAAGGAGCTGAGAAAGCAGACCGAACAGCCGTATGACAGATGGCGTGCTCTGCTAGATCAAGAAAGCTGCATTCTGGCTGCGTGCGCAGCAGGGAGAAGGGTGTGCAGTTTGGGGCCGTGAGAGCAACCCAGAGGCCTGAAACTGGAACAGGTTGAATGTGGTTAGGGCACCAATCTGAGAAGAGCGAAGATTTTTACTCTTGACTCGTGACAGGCTACATGGGAAAACTAGACTAGATAATGGAAAAGCAAAAAGGATTTTCCCCTCCACCTAGGGAATCATTCAGAGCATCCAAGACTTCCCATGCCACTGTAGTTAGTATGTACTTGTGTGTTTGTTAAGGTCTCTGAAGGGCACAAATGAGTTATCTATAAGCCCTGGTGGCTTAGTGGTTACGTATTGGACTGCGATCTGCATGGTGGGCAGTTTGAAACCAGCAGCAGCTCCTTAGGAGAAAGACTGAGTTATCTACTCTCGCCAATGGTCACAGTCTCAGAAACCCACAGGGAGTCGCTATGAGTCCCCAAACTCAGTGGCAGTGAGCTTGGAGTGCTCTCAGTCTAAAGGTTGGGGATTTTATCGCACCCAGTGTCACGGAGTCCAAAGATCTTGCAATTTGCTTCTGTAAATATTGCAACCAAGAAAAACCACGAGGCAGTTCTATTCTGTAATACCATGAGTCAGCAGCAACGCAATAGCCAGGAGTTTGACTTTGGGTAGTGTGTGTGTGTGTGTGTGTGTGTGTGTGTGTGTGTGTGTGTGTTCGTTCTCCAACTAGATTGAGATTCATGGGAATAAGGGATATGTCTGTCTTAGGTACTGGAAGGAAACTAAATTAAGAAAGAAAACTCTAGTGGAAAATGGGTCGGAACCTGGAGAGACTGGAAGCAGAGCGATTAGAGGTTATGGTTGCCAACAATGTTGGCCTAACGCTGAAACTCAGATGGATTCTCTCTTTACCGAGGCTCACAGTACCTAAGGTGACTTGAGTCTTTATGTCCATTACAAACACACAAGCCAATAGCAATGGCACTGCATGGTGACTGCTCTGGTAGGGCAGTACAGAGTGTGAGAGGAGCCAGACAGGAGGGTGTAAGCCATGACTTGGTTAGTCAGGAATAGCTTCCTTAAAGGACTTCGACATTGAAACTTCAAGGGTGGATAAAAAGGAGATTCCGCTGCAAAAAGGGGACGAGGACATCGAGGTGCTGAGGCACGGGAACGGGAGGGACATGCCAGACGAGGAGGAAGTGGTACACTTGGGAAAGAGCCTGGAAGTTACTCATGGTCTCACTAACTGCGAGCAACGGCGAGCCATTCAAAGTGTTTTCAACAGAGGCATGATGGACTTGAGTTTGCATTTATAGAAGTCACTAGAGTTGAGATGAGAATGACTAGGTACAGAGATGAGTTTGAAGACAAATAATGTTTACTTTCATGTAGTAGGGTCTTCCCGTGGTGACTGTCACAGCAAGTGAATGGTTGTATCGATCAGAATTCAGTCAGGTACCCAGAACCTGCGGGGGTTGCTCACCAGAAGAAACAGAAAATGGGGGGTGGGGGTGGGGGGTGACATACAAACATTGTGAGCAGAGAGGGCAAGGCGGCAGGAGCCTGAATCTGTTGCTGGAGCAGGGGAGACCACCTGAGCCAGGGCCACTGCTGTGGGACCCGGAAATAGAGGAGAAGAAGACCTCATACATTCCGTCTGGCATCTTGAAAAACAGGGCAGGATTGTGTTCTAGGCAGAGTGTGAAATTTGGAGGTCCTAAAGGTGAGCAGTCAGTTCTGTCTGAGGTCTAGTGGCTTTTGACATAGAGACTCTTGACGGCTAGGATCGTGGTGTTTCTAATTTGACCTAGCATGGGACTGGTAAGAGGAGGCTTCAAAAAGTTGTAGGGGGGACAAATGGAATTGAAAGAGAATAGGATCTTGCTGTGAACTATTTGAAGCCCCCTCAGAGATGATTTGGGGTTTCTCAGGTGTGTCTCGGAGCAACCCATCTGTGTGAACAGGACAGGTGCATCTGAGACCTTTACTTAGTAAATTGACGTAACTGGCTTTTTCCTTTGTCCTGTTTTCTTCCTCTTGCTCTAGTACGGTGATCCTGTAGCTGCCGTCAAAACCCCAGAGAAACAGAGAGACCCAGAGCAATCTCAGCGTGTGACTGACCAAAAAGTATGCAAAGCAAGACTTAAGCTTTTTTAAGGATTGATGCCATACGGATGTGACAAAAAGCCATTTTCTTTCCAACACAACGAATGCAGGGAATTCTGTCAGAGTTCCACACATTCAGCGGCAACGAGGGCTTTCTGTTTTCTATTTTAAATGTGCTTACGTGCTAGAGCTAAGTAACTTTTTATTCAAAGGGCAGTAAACAAATCTTGCTATGAAAAGTATAGCCTTGCTTATTTTTAATATTAATTAAAAGCTTGCCTTTTTAGTAGTTTTTTTTAGAAATACAACTCTTTTATATACTCAGAACACTTTTTTTTAACCTCTAAACTCTTAAGACAAAGGAGGGTTTTTTTGTTTGTTTTTTTAAGATTTGGATAAAAAAAGAAAAGAAAAGAAAAAAAAAAAAGATTTGGAAATGAGATGGGGGCACCCTCCTAACCCCAGTTTGGCAGATATTCACCAAAACCAGAGTCTAGGTTAGAGCCAAGCCGGTGATGTTCTTCTGATGCGCAGAAGGTGCAGAGCAGAGGAAGACAGAATGCACAGGTGTCTTTCATCATGTCCTTTGACCTGCCCTGGACCGAAACATCCGAGATAGACTCAGCGTAAGGAGGCCGTCGGTGTGAGCAGGGGGAGCCCAGACCAATGGCCAGCAGCCTTCCACTCTATTTCCCAGGGTCTGTCCTGTTGACACACATACTAGTGTGAGAGTATTGGAAACAACTACCATCTGATATTACCACACACACATATACCCCAGTCTCTCTTGAGATCAGGGGTGGGGAACATGTGGCCTGAGGGTCAAATAGTGCCCGGTGACATCATCAACAACATCACACACCTCACTAAAGAGAAGCAGTTCCCAGCCATCACTTGAGTTAATGAATGTTTGACCTGGAGGACCAGTGAATGATGTTATAAATATGCAAATGGCCCTTGGCAGAAAAAGGTTCCCCATTTACAATTAGATCATTAAGACTTAACTGCAATCCATAGGAGAAAAGTTGAAACCTTTCTCCCCCAACCTCAAGGTGATGCTTTACAGATGGGATTGAGTTCACAGTGGGGTGTGCCCAGGTTCTGGTACTGGTGTCATATCTGCCTGAGCCCTTGGCCTGTAGGACACCCAGCGGGGACAATGACAGCCCTCGGACTTTGTATGCCCGGACACAAGGTTGTGAATGTAAAAATGTTTTACTACTTATTTCATTTCCTTTTTAAAATAATGTGACTTAACAAAAAAACTGTAAAAACAATACAAAATTGATTGTGATGACTGTACAACTCTTCTTAATATGATTGAACTATTGAATTGTATATTAATTATGTGCCAATAAAACTGATTTTTAAAATAAATAAAATAAAATTGTAAAAAAACAAAGTATTGCATTTTAACCTAAAAAAAAAAAGAATGTAAAAATTTGGGGGTGCTAAGATTGCTTTATTATTATTTTTATAACCTACCTTTAAATCATTGTGGTTTATACTGGAAATTTGTCGTTTCCATTATTGATTGTATCATTGCCCCAAGGAGCTGCAACTTGAATCTATTTCATATCAGGAAGCTTCGCTTTATGCTCTTCACAAGTGTTGTATTGAGGAGGAGGTTAAATTTTACCAGGTTAAATTTTTCTTAAGAAACCTCTTCAGTATTTGTATGAAAAAGGGAGACTTTCACAGCTTAGCAGCTAGAGTTACTGGAACTGTGTCACCTTAAGAATGTAAATCGAGAGAAAATGTTTTGAGAAATGATGTACAAATGCGCTTTACACAATTGATGTGTGTATGGATTGGGATAACAGTTGTATGAGCCCCTAATAAAATGTTAAAATATATATATATACTGAGTGGAATCCATAAAAAAAAAAAAAGAATGTAAATCGAGCCACAAATGAAAATGAACGGTCACGTCCGTTGGGTGTGAGAAACAGCTGCAATAAAGCTCCTTGAATAAGTCTCCAACGTGGTCTCCAGGTGTTCTCTGTAAGGACTCGCTCACTCTGTGTCTTGTGCCATCTTGACCTTGTGCAAAAGAACTGACTGTTGTGTCGCAATTGACCTGATGTTTCTTAGCACCTCAATATGACCTTGTGTTCCGGAGAAGGGTTGGTATTTAAGTGGGTTCCTGGTATTCTGTTGGTTTGTTTTTCTTGTTCAAGAGCTGCCAAGTGACGGCATGATAGAGAATCCTTTCCTTTGGGTAGGAGGCCAAACACTGGCATGGGGAGAGGCCAGATTTTTTCTTTGCTGAGCTCCAGTGGTGCCAGGAGACCTACCTTTCCTTCCGTTCATTCTCCCCAACGTTCCCAGCACCGAGGTTGGCATTGTGCTACTTGGCTGTGCACAGCATTGGCTGCTTCCACGGCTTCCTCATGAAAGTAAACGGCATCGTGGATGCACCAGGGTCTCGGGAGACACGGTCACCGGGCAGGAGGAGGAACAATGTTCAGAGTCTCAATGAATGAGGTTGAGCTTAGGTTTCTGTGGGTCAACAATATTTTTTCAAGCTCCAAATAATTTCCCAAACTTGGATGAAGTAGACTTCGATTTTTGTAGCAGAATACCTACACAAAGATACACTTGAAAGGGTTGTTCCTTTGGGGGTGGGTGTGATGAAACTTTAGATCTATTTTATTGGATTGTTTTAAGCCTTCTGAATTTTCTGCAATAGCATGTCTTAATGTTCTGATTTCTCCGTGTGTACTTTTCATGAGGAGCTTTGTGTCTCTTGAGTGAAGTATGAGTCATTGTTCCTCCTTCAAAGTCACCTCTCTCAGCAAACGAGGCCGCCCTTCCATCCCATTCTTGGTCACCAGGCTGCGCTGAAGCTCCAAAGCTTTTACTGCCCCATGTGCCCACAGAATTGCCTTCTGAGGCGGGCCCAGAGGGCATCCTTAGCAGGTCCAATACCGCAGAAAGTGACTGCATCTTCACCCCCAAGATACCAGTCTGCCTCCAACCACAGCTCGAACTGGCGACCGAGAAAAGGAACATCTTGTCAAGGTGCACTTCTGGATGCTGTGGCCTTTCGGCTCTATCATGACTGACGCCTCCTGGTAAAAGGGCAAAAGACCCCGATTCAAAAATGTTGGGTTTTTTTTTTTTCAAAAATGTTTTACAGAGATCTTTTTATTAAGCCTTCAAGAGGACAAAGACAATCATTAGAATGAGGGAGACTCAATATCCCCTCGGTACAGAAACCGATTAAATCAACTGAATCACAGCCATGCTATTTATTATATATCGTAGCAGTCAAAGAAAATAAAAATGGGATCATGATTGGTGGCAGCTCAATCTGCCAGGTGGGACTCGAAGTTGAAAAAGGAACCCGGTTAGGCTATGTATAGAATTACAGGTTATAAAAGGTATAGAATTGGTTCTGGGGCTCTAATTACCTGGTTATCTGGTGGTTGGGCTCAACTCGTGAATATGCAACCCTGAGTCATAGTCACAAGGTAGTTACAGGATACCAACTGTTTCCTTCAATAAGATACACAATGAAGGATACCCTCCTTTGCTTTCCTCAGTTAAACTGGTTAATCAGCAGGGAAACTATTGTTACAGTTTTTCTAGGAGCTGAACCTTAGCCTAGCTTTTCTTATTAGGACCAGATACTTATAAACCTTTGGAGGGGGGGGGGTGTCTTCAATCTCCACATCAATCCCTCCATTTTATCAAATATGTCAGCTGAACATACCGCCATTGTCTTTTGTCTGGCCTTATATTATCTCCAGCATCAATTTGGCTTACACAATCTTCCATGTGGACTGCTTCCCTAAATGTGGTCCCTAAGTTTTAAGTTTTTAGATCTATGGCTGGTTGGAATTTTTTTTTTTTGCAAGTGTATTGCCTGAATATTTAGTTAGATATTATCTAGTTCTTAACCATGTGCCTGTAGTCCCTGCCAGATACCATCCTCTATGTATGTTGATTTTCACTATACTGAGCAAATATGGGATATATCCATTAGAGGCAATAGCCGAATTGAGAAGGAACAGCTTGCTATTCATGACAGCTAGTTCAAGATGCAGGACTCTTACACTGTGTGACAAATGTGTGCAGCATCCATATACGTTAGTTGTTTAGGATGTGTTTTTGTGCAACCGTGGTTACACATTTCATAATAACATTTATTATGGCAATTATTAATGTAGTTACTATAATGATCAGAATAAGAAATCTGGTTTGCAATAAAATTCTCAGCTACTACCTTATTCTTTGTGGTAACCAACTGAAAAGATAAGAAAAGGATGGCCTGGAGGCATGGAATATAACCAAACTTTTCATCGGTTTTACCAATATCTTCTTCCAGTATCCAGTAATATTAACCCATGAATAACAGGAAGTGTTGGTTATTGATTAATAATCTCATAAAATCAATATCTATTCAAGCCCCAGTGATTAGTGCTATCAATATAACTAATCTATGCCCAGACATTTTTAATATAGCTAGGTGCCCAAATGGAAGAAATCTACATTTGTATTCATTTCCAAAGAAAGGTGACCCAACATAGCAATATGCTATTTACAAGAAACACATCATAGACACAAAGGGGGAAAAAAAAGACTAAGAATAAAAGAGTGAAAAAAGTATATCAAGCTAATAATGACAATCAAAAAGAGTGGGAGTGAAACTATTAATCCCAATAAAATAGACTTCAAGGCACAATCCACCACAGGAGACAAAGAAGGGCAGCACAAAATGATTAAAGGTCAATTGAACAAGACACAAGCATAATAAATATCTATGCCAAATTCCATTGATCAATAGGCAATACTGCAATAATAGAAGGAGTCTTCAATACACCATTGTGGTAGTTACACAATTTCATGTCAAGAATGAAAGGGTGGAGTCTAGCCAGTCAATCAGGTCACAGAATGAAGGAGTGGAGTCTAGCCTGTCATCAGGCTGAACATCATCCTGATG